GGGGGGGCGCAGAAGAAAAAGTTTGGGAACCACTGCATTAAAGCAAAATTACTATCCCAGAGAAAAGGGCTTATTGTTGTATTTATAATCCATAGCAGCATTAATACTGTCTGAGGGTCAATAATCACCACAACAGAAGGGGCTCTACTCAACTCAGAACCAATTGAATTTCTTGTACTTATCTCCAACCCTAAAGGTTCTTTATAGCACTCATAGCCACTTCTGTGCAATTAAAATTGGTTCCTGAATAAATGATCTAATAAAGAAAGATAGGAAGGGTTTACAGTAGATAAAAGGTTAGGATTCAAACCCTGCATAATTATCAGTCATAATAATAGCACATCTTCTCCACCTCCCTTCCAAATGAGAATGCTGAGTCAAATTCCAAGCACTACATTTTAAAGAACTGGGTTAAAGACATGTAGGATAACTAAAATTAAATACAATGCACACCATCTGACAGCAAAACCTACTTTAGTAGGAGTTATTCTAGTATAAATTAGTTTGTTTTTTTTCACACTCGATTAACTTTGATCTCCTCCTCCTAGTCATCACTAATCAAAAATGTACACAGAGGAGCATTTTTACTCAAAAGGAAAATAGTTGCTCTAACTATGCACACTGTACATACATACTATATTTTTAACAAAAAGTTTCATCTAATATTTGACAGCTGCAGAAACAATGATTTAATCTGTAAACTCAGGATGTTCAAGCTGCTTTTTAATTCCTTTAGCTCATTCTTCCCACTTCTTGCAAAACGGATCAATTTCAGCCAAAAAGAAAACGGGACTTTTTTTTTTTTTTTCCCTCTAAATATTCTGTAAATCCATGGTTGGCTTCACCATAATGCAGGACAATATGATAATCTGTATTTTGCATATATATGGCAGACTTATGCTCAGATATCAGTCTTTAATCCTCCTTGGTCCATCAATGTTCTTTATCCTTGTGAAAGTCGCAAAAAAAATTCACATTAAAGGCTTTGTTTTTTAAATTAAAAAATCTGCATCCCATTGAAATGTTTAGTGTCACTGACTCACACAATATGCTTAATCTCACAACATGATTTGCATTTTTATTTTTCCTCCACATTTCCTGGTGGTAAAATCCATGCAGCATGTAATTTTTCTGGTTCTTCAGTCCACTCTACTTATTTACATATATGAATAAAAACAAATAATATAAAAAATTTATTTTGACAACTTCATAATTCAATATGCCTGTGAAGTACTGAAATTATGACATCCATTTATATAGAACACATTTATTGCAATCTTTAAAAGAGCCTTTTGTGGTCAAAGGAGTAGGTACAGAGCCTAAAATTAAGGGACACTCAATGATTAAAGCTCTTTGTTTACCACACATAAAATAATCTATGAGGAAATTGTAAGAAATCTGCTGAAGTATAGGATTTAATGACATACATTCTACGTGTAGATGTCTCAGAGCCACAGCTAGAGAACTCAGACAGCAAAGCTAAACATTTTCTTGTTGATTAATTAGAAAGGGAGTGACTGCAAGTTTAATTTTGTTTTGTCTGTAGAGTTGTGTGCATTTTCTTTTTACAAAACTGGAAAAGTGAGTATTTTGTTAACAAAAGTTTCAGTTCTGTTTGACTGCTTTGTTGAATGTCACACATGGTGCAGAGGATTTCACAACACAAACTTTGTAAGCAGTAATGAAATTATTTTGAACACATGGGCAAATATTGCATTGCATTCTTTTCTTGTCTTGGTTTACTAAAAAAAAAAATCTGCTAAATCAAAACTCAAACTAAAAGGTTTTTTTAAACATTTTTTTTTAGAAATGAGAAATATTGACGCTGATTATTTTCTTTTCTCCTCTTAATTAGGCAGAAAGGCGTGAAAACTGCCTTGTCATGCAAGCATTCTGCTCACACGCACGCACGCACGCACACACACAAAAACAAGTTAGTCATTGTTGGAGCCTTTCTGTATACACGCTGAAAAAGGACAGTACAGGCACAGTAAGCGTACTGCCCTGCAGTTTATCAGCTGTTCTGCTTTCTTCATGCTCTCACACAGGTGACAGTGCGAGCTCCTCTTGTGTCACTGCCAGCTAAACAAAATTAAGGAAGAGTTAAAAACTCAATGAGCCTGGTAATTAAATTTTAATGGTGGACATAAAGCAGCCTGACAACCACTTACAGCTATAAGCAGAAGCCATATCTGCAACACAATCAGGGAGGAAACTCCTTTCCTCCTTAGCAACCCACGCACTCATTGTGTCATCGTGGGAAAATTTATCAAGAGAAAAATTACAATTCCACCAAAATCCTTCACATCGCATAAATGTTATAACTTCCTTTCTGTGTGCTTTTGAATATGCTGCCTCTACAACCTTACACTACATCAGCAATGCTTTCAGAAATGTGTCTATATTAGGGCCACATTTATAAAACATATAGAAGTGTTAAAAGCCCTAGTCTTTTATTGCAGTGGCAAAATGTTATACTCAAATATACATGAAGAAAATCATATTTCATTTCCATTATTCAGTAGCAAAAAAAAAAAAAAAAAAAAAAAAAAATAGAAGTCAAGAAATATTTAATTTTAAAGTAACAAGTGGCAAAATCATTATTTCCACCAACAAACCCAATAAAAAAAAACATAACCGTTTTTATATTCTTATTTTACAAGTTAAATATGATGGCTTTTTGCTTTTTTTTTTGCCGCCGATCCCTCGGCTGGTTCAGGACTCCCACAACCGAAAGCTCTCTGTTCAATAACTACAGCAAACGAGTGGCCTCTTGGGGTCACCAGGTGTCCACAACAACAGCTGGATTGTTGTGGCCAGCTGGTTGCTGGCATGTAGATGTCATGCCAGCTAAATGCTGGCATGACATCTACTCTCTTGTCTCTTGTCCTTTTGATTCAAGGACAAGAGAAGAGATTTTCTGTCCAGACAAACATTTAGAATTTGCTAGATACTCTAGGACTGTGTACTTTTGTCAAATTAGACTAAGGTACTTTTTTTATTTATTTATTTATTTTTTAGAAAGAAATACCAAAAGTGAGTTTGCCATGAAACAATGGAAAGCACTTAATTCCCACTTTCCAGTACAGTGCAGGATCTGTACTGCAATATTGCAGGGCTTTTATTTCAGAAAGCCCTGCAATATGTGTTAAACCACAAAGCCATCATGAACTTTTGGAAAAACCTGAATATTTTAAACTTTAAAAAAAAAAATAAAAAATGTGGGTTTTGCCAGAAAACTGTAAATTGTGGATCTTTCAACAGACACGTAGGTCAAATTTAACCCTCAACACTTCACAGAACAATTTCAACTGTAATTTATGCTGACAATATGTTAGGCGTCTAACTGATGTGAAGTCTAAATAAAAAACAGCAATTCAAAATGAAAATACAGCAGGCAAAATAACAGATGAAAGTAAAAAAGTCAGGCAAGTTGTCCAATGTTTTTTTTTTTTTCCCCCCACAAATCTATTCCTAAATATCTGAAAAAGGGCTACAACAATATGTCAGTATGTGCATCATTTATATAACTCAGTGACTTTAGTTAGAATAAATAACTTTTGTCAACAAAAAAAAATTGCACAGAACATTGCATTCACATGCAAATTATCTTTCCACCAACACTGCAGTGCAAGGCTCACAGAGACGGCAAGTAACTCTGGACAGCAAAGTTTAGCACTTTATATTCCTATCAGTCCTGCCACCTGTGCAAAAAGCAACCAGACCACCAGAGAGAATAGAGAATCAGGGAGACAAATTCTCAAAAATCATAAAAGCCCACAGAAAGCCCTTTGAACCTTTCAGACCTCGTGATGGTCGGCTAAACAGAATGGATTGCCTCTAGGCCACAATGGAGCTTAATCACAGCCTGAATGTTTGGCAGCATTAACTGATGAGCTAACCTGCCTGCACAGAATGAAAAATTCAACTGTTGCAGAAAAAAAATAACCCTGATATTTACTCTGAGACTGTGACCATGACATTACAGGCCATAGTAATGCTCTTTACCTCCCAATTACCAAATGCAACATGTATTTTATAACAAAGACAGGGAGAAATAGGAACTTACTCTAAAGTTTTTCTACATCTCTATTTAAAACAACCAAATAACAAAATTTAAGGTTTATAAAGGACCTAATATGGCATTCTCTACATTTACTGGAGCCCACAGTACATATCCATAAAGATGCTTTAAAAAAAATCTATTTTATTGAACTAGAACTGTCTAACACTGGCTTTTTTTTTTTTAATCCACTCTTAATTCTTTAAAAGATTTTACCCAAAGTTAATCAGATCACCTTTAAGATTTCCATATTAGTAATCCTGTTTCTATATCATTTCTTTTAGCAACATGCCATTCAACCTGGCCAAATGTGTGTTTATCATATTGAGTCATGAGGAGTTTATAGACGAATAGCTGTTTTTCTTGTTGCCACTTCCTGTCTACAATTAGAGACAGGATAAAAAGTTTACCACAACTACAATTAGGATGAATAAGATTCAGTGAGAAATCTCGTCTGTCTTGCCACCATGCACGGCAAGGAGGATGTTAAGAGAGGTTTAAAAATCAGAAAAGTTCACTCGTCAAAGAAAAGAGTAGGATCATGGAACCACCAAGTATCTGCGACATAGTAACATCAAGTAGAATCAAGAGACAAATGGTTCACCAAGGTGAATATTTTAGGCTTGTTACCCATAGTTACGGTAATCGTACAGCAGACATTTGGTTTTCATGTTATCACAATACTCAAACAAAACACCACGCTGCTTGAGCTCTTCAACGCTTTGTGTTAAAAGGTCAAAATGCCGATCATACAAAACAACTTCCATGACATTTAAATGTCTCCGGTATTTTTAAATGTTCCAAGTTTGTCTGTAATATTATGTTGATGTATGAGCAGTGTTCTTCAGTCCTCATTAAATAATCCAAAAGATTTGATTAACCTCATCAAATTCAATGTTTTTTTGTTTTGTTTTGTTTTTTTCTTAAATTTAAGTGGCTTTTATTTGCATTGCACGGGAAAGGGGGAGAAAAAGGAATAGGGAGAGCGGGGAGGGGAATATCTGTAGCAAAGATCGGGTTCGAACAACAGGTGGAGGAGGCAGAGGACTAATAGCATTACAGAAAGCTGTACCAGAAAAATCTTTCAGAATCAAACAGAAATAACGTGTGACCTAACAGAAGACAAGAAAAGAAGGAAACCGCCATACAATTTCAATTATGGCAAGCAAGACCAAGCACACTTCCTTAACTTGCCTTAATCATAATCACACACCACTTCTGTGACGCCTCCAGGATTAGTTATTCTTTATGTTCACCAGCAGAGGGCAGCAAAACACAACTTAAAGCTGAACTCCAGACAAAAAACCAGCAGCTTAAAAAGCATAGAGAGCAGAGCTCCTACCAGCATTGACTATGGCATCCACCTCCAGGACAGTAATATCACCCTTGTAGAGAGATACTTTATCACCGAGGCCTCCTCCACCTGGGAGCTCCTTCTCATCATCTTCTTTGTTCCTGGCTGAAGTAACAAACAGAAACAGGCCACCAAGCATGTAATGGAGTTAGATATCAGCTGGATATTTGAAAAGAGCTTGCAGATGTGCTCAAAAAGGCATTAAAGAACACTTTAGTGTGTAGATCATAAACAATTGGTTTCATATCAAACAGCAACATTTCCTAGAGTAGCAAAACTCCAAAACAAATGTAAAGCTCAAAAATGTTTAATCATGAAATAAGCTGACACGACAGAAAAAGAAATTTCAAAGAATTAATAACTTTACCTCCATTCACAAATAAGATATAAAGCATGTTGATGAGCTTTAGTAAAATAATTTTTGTTTCCTTCCAACACTGAATGCAGTCTTAAAAACTTGATGTGACATAAGCACTTACTCTTTTTGGATAATGCAGAAAAAGGTGTTGGTAAAGACATGTAAAAAGTCTTAAATAAATTAATCTTTTATAGCACTAGCGTAACCCACACAGTAAAAGCCAAACATGTAATTTAAGGAAGGTTAAGTTGGCAAAATAAAATTCTATTTGAAGACAGAATTATTTGTAACTAAAATCACTGGTTGCACAATTACTGGCTGTCAATATTTTTCTACCAAGCCCTTTTGCCAAAAGGACAGCATGAAAGCCTGATGACATTTATCGAGGTTGGAGCTTTCAGGAAGAGGGATTTTTGGCTTTTCCTTTCTAAATCATCCTTGGCTCTCTCTCTTGCCTTCATGTCTTCTTTCCCACTCAGCTCCCACAGGTTTTCCACCTTACGAACCAATTCAGAGTAAATTTGCCCATGCATTTTGGATCGATATCATGTTAAAATCACCCAGTGACCCATTTCTAATTTTCCTGTCGACCACCAGATTCTTATTGAAGTTGTCCTGTTATTTGAAGAGCTCACGGTGGCATGAACTCTCACAAGTAGCTGTATGCAGTATTTTAAACTGCAATCATTTCAGTATCAGTGTTTTTAAAATCGCAGTTGCAAAACTCTGCTTTGATGCAATACATGATGGGTTGCTACCTTTAAAGGAATATTCATTAAACTGCATGCAAATATATCTGGAGTTTTACTACTCTTGATGCACAAATCTTAAGCTTACAACAAAAGTGGTGGGAAAGTTCTGATGATGCAAAATGAGAAGGAAGGCTTGTGTAAAAAAAAAAAAAAAAACTACCACTTTCCACCAACTTGGCATTCAGCACTTTAAATAATGAATAAAAAGTCTCACATCTGTTTTCCTCTCTCCAAGTTGGAATGTCATCCAGTTGTGTGAAACCTTTACGATACTCCTTGCGCCTGTCCTCTCGATCTAGTTGAAGGAGTCGTTCTGTGAACAAAAAACAAACAAAAAGTTCTGCGACAAACTCCTCTTCTTCCAAAAATATGATTTGGTATTCCACCTCTACCATAGACCAATCCACTCCCAATATTTTTTTTCTACATAATCTTTTAGATTTGAAAATAACCTCGATTATAAATAACTGACATTACAAAACTTTTGATTGCCCCGTTTATACGCCCTTTTTCCATCCTGATGAGATAATCCTCTTGTTCACCTCTATTCTTGAATACTTTGCCACTTTACAATCACAAACTGTGATACATTTTGTTAGGGGGAAGAAAAAAAAATAGCGAGTCATTTTGAGATATGCCTCTTAAACTTTGTGAGATTAGACTGAAAGTCTTAACTGGATTTACGTCTGACGTTAACTGGGCTATAACTAACATTAATATTCTTGGATCTGCACCAGCAATTCTCAAGTGGCGAGTCCTGACCCAAAGATGGGTCATAAATCCATTTTCAATTAGTTGTGAGCCATTGCATGGACAGAAAATGATGAGGAAATAAACAATAGTGGATTGCTGATAAATCCTACAGAAGGTGGTCATGATTCCTTGTAATGAGAGTTGGCATTCATTGGTTTCACACCACAGAAGAAGACGTAAATGTATTAATCTATGCTAATCAATCACAGCGAAAGGTTCCAACTTTGTAAGACTAGTTTCCTGAGAAACAAAGGAGTGATTATATGTGCAACACCTGTGAAATAAGCATGGAAATCATAACTAAAAGTCAGCTGGGCAGGCTATCATGTAATTGCAATACAAAATTTGCTAAGGTAAGCTTTCCTCAGTTCTGCTGCTGTACTGTAATACAGCAGCAACCTTCCCTTGCCACTCGAGCTCCAGCCGTTCAGCACCTGTCTCTATGAGAGCAGCTTTTCAGCTCTGGTTCAGCTGAAGAAAAACAACAGAAACAGACTGGATATTGAGTTTAACCTCATCGTTGGATTGTGTGCTAGATCTCCAGACTCCGAGGCTCTCATCAGGAGCAAAAAATGTGTGCAATAAAAACAGTAACTGAAGAAAGTGACTTTTTTTTTTTTTTTTTTTACCTTTAGTCTATTGCTGATTATAGTTTAAGTGAAAATACTTCTAAGGGTTGGGAGATGTTTATTTTATGAAATATGCAAGTAAAGACTATTAAGATGACTGTTGTTGGTGATTGCTCCGATTATCATTTTAGTCTGATGAATAATGCATGAATAACTGACTAAGTTAGAAATGTTTCCTTTATTTTGGTCAGTGGTTCACCGGTTGAGAACCACTGATCTAAGCTATTCACTCAAGCCTCTATTTGTATATTTAAGGCTATAGTTTAGCTGGAAGATGGCTAAAGTGCTTTGAAACCTCTAACAAGATGTTTTTTTTAAGATTGCCCTGTGTTTAGGTCCATCCATCTTCCTAGGAACTCTGACTACTTTCCTTGCCCCTTTTGAAGAAAAGCACCCCCATCACATGATTCTGTCACTACCGTGTTTTACCATAGCGAAGTATCCGTGTGATGAGTAACGTTTCTTCGTCTATTGTAGAAAAGATCAAAATTTTGGTCTCATCTAACCAAAGCATCTTTTGCCCCACCTTTGCTATATCTCCTGTGCCAGACAGTAAGCAGGACTTCTTCTGGCTTTCTTAATCTCAGTCTTCCATAAGACACTAGATTTATGGAGCAGACAACTTATAGATGTCCTGCCAAGACATTCTACCATCTGTAACTTCTGAAGAGTTTACCATAAGCCCTGTTCGGTTGCTGATTAATGCTCTGTTTGCCGAGCCTTTCAGTTTAGGTGGGCGGCTTTGTCTTTGTAGGTTTGCAGTTGTACCATGGCTTTTTTGTTTCCTAAATGATGAACTGAATGGTGCTCTGTGAAATTTGTAGAGCTCCGATGTTGCAACCCAGCTTTAAATCTCTCCACAACTTCCTCATATGCACTGGTTTACATGTTTGTTCACCTAAGTTCTCTAACAAACACCTCTATGTCACACAGGTGAACTCCAGTTAATAATCAGGTAAAGACAATTTGTAACTTTTTTGTTTCTTTGTCTTTGGTTGTTAGAAAGGCGGCTGAAAATAAATTCCTGCCACAATTCCAAATTTGTAATTGTATAAAGAAATCCTTACAATTTAGGCACAAATTTGAATTACACCATCATATAAAATTCTAGTAGGGTCATTTGAAAGAGTACAAGAGGTTGTAAATACATTAGTAAAGCACTGTAAAAGAGCTGAGGATGGTCAATATCAACAATTTACATCTACTCATTGGTCATAGTAATAAGGGAATAATGTCACTGTGAAATGAAACCTTTTATTGGAAGAAATACTGAGGAAGACCCTAAATATGGAGAAAAATAACCTTTTTCAGTATATCCCTTTGGCGAGACCTCACAGTCAGCCAGTCATACATTTAAAGTATTACTGCAGTGCAGGGAATCTGTTTTAATCCTAATGTACTATCTTTCCCCATCGCCTACTTTTCTTATTTCCACAGCTGCTTTTATTCTACATGGATGAATAAAAAGGCAGCTGAACACAGCAAAGCTTTTTGGACTATAATAAAACACTCAGTCACAAGGTTGAACAATTCATCACTGACAAATTCCAAAGCTTAGCTACCCTGACAGGTAACTGTCTCTAAATCTATTTTATACAGCATATAGACCTGCTAAGATTTGCTGTGCCATAGTTGTGAATGCAGGAGTCGGCCCCCATCATTTCCCAGACATCTCTGAACAACACAGTACAGTGAAATATATTAATGGAACTGAGACTGACGGTGGCATTAGATCTGATTTACTATATTTCTTGGAGTCCAAAAGATGTTCTGGTCCCAAGTCAGAAAACCAGTGGTCACAGGGTTTTGTGACCTGTGACCTGGTTGTTTACCATTAACAACAAAAGCATGAATAAAGTTTCTCTATTCCATGCCTTAAAACCCAAAAGAAACATGCAAGCAAACAGGAATGGTAAAGTTCTATGTGTGACAGAAGAGCAACTAAATTATTTATTCCCACAACTTTCACAAGTTTTATAAATGCACAGCAGCCATATTGAATATGAGTCAGGAATCACATCAGTGAGACTCAAGTTTGTGGGCATTCTGTCTTAGAGTACAAACAGAATGCACAAGCTAATTCATTTAAAGTTTAACATTCAGTTAACCCAACATTTTGGTACGAATTAATGCACTTACGAAATAGATGCGTCTTTTCCTCCACTTAAATTTAGCAGGCTGTTGAACATTCTTCAGATGATACAATCAACTGATTTGGATGTAAGCACTTGCATTTCTGTCCCAAACATGGCATCCATAAAATTATTTAAATCAATAAAATATTTACTCAGCAGCATTTTTAGTTCAAATGTGAAAATATGTTTTTGCCTAAGAATAATTGACGTTATTCCATCTGAAAATGTTCAATATTTTAAATACTCATTAATATTTGCTGAAAGTTTCATGGTAATATTTACAAAAATGTATTAGTTCAGTGACGTAAATAAATATTGCAATAAATATTCTGTTGTAGGTTGTGTGGAAAAGCTTAAAGCAAGGTCCAAGTTTTGGACCTCTCACAGAGCTCTGCTCAATCTGTCATTTGGAAATATAAAGGATGACATAAACCCAAACTTACAAAGACATGATGGTGAACCACTTAAACGTGCATTCATATGTTACACCTGCCCGGTATTTTTCCAGGTAAGACTTGAAAAATACTAAATATGACTGGACTTAGGCTGTTTCCAAAGAAAAATGGTAAAAGTCTCTACATGTGCAAAGGTGGTAGCCACATACCAAAAAACACTTGCAGCTTTAATAGTAGCAGGAGGTGAAAAACGGAGATCATCATGAAGTTTTCTTCTTACTTTAGTTATGGATGCATTCTATGATGTGTTTAATAATTCCAAAGCAATGCTCACATGGTGACAAGGACAGAAGTAGCATAATGCAAACTAGTGAACTGCAGCTATGTTGAACCTCAGGAAGAGATATGCAATAAAAAAGCTCCAATGTGAATAGGTCAATAAATAAATATCGACCAGGTTTGATTTTCTTTTTGATACTCAACAGGTCCAAGAGTTTTTGCACTCAAACAAGCACCCCATAAAACACTTTTCGTTGCATTTAAATACACGAAATATTGTTATTGGTTTTTTTTTCTATTGCTACTGCAGATTAAAGCAACTGAAGTGTTTCATTGCAACACTAGTGTTTGTAATTGAGAGGTGGAAAGCAGTTTGTGGTTACAAGGGCATTTATACACCCAGAATTGGCTGCTTGCACCTCACTGAGCTAATGCTGGAGCACGACACAAGTGGAAAACAGGAAATACTAGTTAGTGGCTTTCATTAAAGTCCAGAAACGTGTCGAAAATATATCTGAGCGCCCATAACGCAAGCTAATAAAGAGATCAGAAGCAGTGAAAGGTGCTGCTGCGAATGTCAAGCATGCATTATAAAGCAGACAAGCAGAGGCGCAACAGTAACATCTGTGCAGCCTCCGTCTGGCATTGACAGAATAGTCTAGAAAATAAGTTATTAAAGGCAGAGGATCTGTCAGTGTCCCGGTTATAATTCATGCTGTCTGCCGCTGAAATGATAGCCACATTACCCACCTCCAAAACAACCCTTACCTTTTTCAGTCTTCCAGTCCTTTTTCTTTTTGCTCATGCTGCCGGAGTGATAAGACTTCGAAAGGCTGCTTTTTGATTGTGACAACCCCAGGCTCACAGTGAGTGGAGTTCCGGGGGGTAAAAGAAAATAGAAACGTAAAGTGAAACAGCCTCTGGACGGTTGTCTCACCTGTGAAGCTGTCAAATTTCTATGGACCCCTTAGTAACGTCAACCTATCGTGATGGCGCCGTAAATTATGTGTGGGAATTCTGGCCACACGATTGGCTCAGAGGAATAAGAAAGTCGGCCTCTGATTGGTCTGTTGGAGCAGTCCATCACAGAGTGCCAACGTTCGCAGTGGAGTGAGGGTAGGTTGTTTCCGGTGGTTCGTCCCTCCAGCGTGTGAGCTGGTTGGAGACTTGCGCCGGTGTTCTGCTGAAAAATGTACCCAGGTAGTTTAGCTCGCTTTGAAAAGAACCCAGCTTACATAGGCAACATAAATTAACGAAATTATCAAGTCAATTATGGCTCTTATGAATTAATTTATAAATTTTCAATGTACCCAATTCATTAAGTGCTTTCAGATTTTCTTCCTGAAACGAAGGGTTCTTTTTATGGAAGGGTGGGTTTTTTTCGGCACAACACTGACCACAGCGTGTAAAAGTGCAATATACGTTCAATTATTCCAAATTATTCCAAATTATTTACGTTAACTCTGAGATTATTAATTGATAATCGAAATTTGAGAACTTGTTTTCACTTTACTGTGCTATTGGCTTCCGCTTTCAATGTTATCTTTAAAATTGAACTTTTAAAATACATAAAAGTTGCTATGAACCTTCAGGGAGCTTGGAGAGAACAGCTTCTACATTGCATTTTCTCATAAATTTGCTTTTAACATAGACAACACAATTTATGTGAACTATGAGAAATATATATACCTAAAGGTTCTCTTTAACCTATTAAACTGGTAGTTCTTTAGGGACCTTTTAGAAAATGTTTTCTGAACATGCTCTAATATAGTCCTGTGAACGTTGAAGGTAGCATTTAGGCATCCTCCAAAGATGACATTGTAAAGGTTATAGATAACCTTTAGGGATCCCTGGACATTTCAAAGGATTACATATAAAAGCATAACAGGCAACCCTGAGTATCATTTTCATCAGATTGTTATATAATAATAGCACAATGTACAACTATTCTTTGAAGAAAATTGAAAATATGACTTATAACATGATTTAATTTCCATTTGGGATTAATGAAGTATGTTTTAATTGGACTCAATTTGAATTGAATCCGAAGTGAATTTAGTTTCAATTCCATGTGACTATGGACTCCAAATTTTACAGCATTTCAATTTGAACAATCCAAGCAAAGCTCACGCAATACAGTTTTACTTGAGAACATTTATGTCATTCATTGTGATCATTGTTTATGGTTATTATTTAAACTTAATGTGTTGATGGCATTTCTGTCTTTCCTGTAAAGCACAGGGCTGTTTCTCACAGGAGAGATCAGATCAGACCAGTAAGTTGGACTGTTACATGTGAGAGGCTGGTTCCAGAGACCACCGTCTGTCATCTGTTGTGCTAGCACTGCTCTGGTCCAGACCCATCTGCTCCCGAAACCACTGACATTATATCTGAGGATGGAAAATTTCTGTCATCTAGATTGTAGCTGGCCTGAATTCTATCCAGATCTCACACTGAAATGTATTCAGGTTTTAACCAGGCCATTGAAGGACAGAACAGTAGCCGTACATAACAACAGACTTTACAGATGGAACAAAAGCTCTTGACTTGTTGGGAATCATTGTATATTAAATTTGCATGACCTAATCTTCCTCAGCAACCACCCAGTTTATGCAAATTAAAAGTATCTGTCACACTGAGCAGTTATAAACAGAAAGTAACTAATTCTCATTTCCAGGAACAGAAATTTTCTCTACTTCTCATCTCATTTGTTCCCACTTCGACTAATACAGAAGTATAAAATTACGTAATGCTGTATTAATTCCTTTTTGTCAGCTTCTCTGAATAGAACCCATTGTCAAATAATCAATTTAACATAAAAACGAAGTCAGAATTGCATGCGAAATGTTCCGCAGTTGTGTGTTTTTTACTTCAAACCACTAGATGTCAATCTTGCATCAGCTTAAACTGAGAGAACGGGCATGAATGATCTTTCTCACAATGGTCAGAGAGTCTGCTGCTGTTATTCAAAACACCCCAATCGTTAGAGTGTAATACTGCTTTTAACCTCAAGATGTTGGAACTTTATTGAAAATTGCTCATTTCAGTAATTTGGTTCAAAATATTTATGGATTTAATTGTGATGATTAAATGTTTGATAAAATTATATTACATAAGACCAATAGAAAAATAATTTTTGCAAAGTATATATGTGATTATTTTAATAGTATTTTGAGGTGTATTGTGCATTTTTCTAGTGTTAACCAATGTAATTTATTGAAATAACAGTTAAAGTGTGTGTGTTTTATGTAATTTGAGCATTACACCAATTAATTCTTTTGACCTGTCTGTAATTTATTTTTTCAAACGTGAAAAGTCTGTATACCAAGAAATGACAGCACAGTGACTCTTCACCAGCGTTCCAGCCTGAATACGGTGTCGATTCTCAGTTGGGAAAGCTTCTTTCCTACCTGGAAATTTAGTTCTTTGATTTATTTTTTGCACATTTAGAGCCATCTTTTTATGAATCAGGCATTCGTGTCCTATGATGAGATTTTGTGGTAGGACCGACATGCAGACTGGGTTGTGAGTGAATAACACCAGAGTTATGGGTTAATATGATGAAAGTTTAATTCAAACAAAAGAGCAGACTTACAAAACAGGAGCAGCAAGGCGCTGCAGGGAACAACAGAGGGCCAAGGAGATGACAGGAATGGAAGAAACTAGTGGAGAACAAAAGCAAACAGAGCAAATATAAACAGAGGGAAGAGTGGAAACGACCAGGAGAACTAATTACAGGTAACCAGATGGAGGTGGGAAGAATAGTGGAGAAGAATAAGGCAGTGATTAGTAGCTGGGCTCTGGTGAAGAATGGAGGAGTGAGGGGAGAAAATAAACCAGTCCAGGAAAATGTGAGAGGAAAAGAACTCTGAAAGCAATGAAACTGTAATAGAAAGAAACATAAATCTAAATGAGCAAAATCAAAACACAAATTAAACTGAACTGAAACAAGAGATAAACTAAACTGACAAGGCAAGAGAAAAATACAATAAATAAATGATCAAAAATAGCTTAAACCTGAAAGGGATCATGATTTTCTTTTCCAAAATGGGTGTCATGGTGGCAGGCTGGGGTCACAGCATGCGACCCATGTATGGAGGACTCAGTCATCGATATTGACCTTTCCCACATGTCTTCTCTCCTCTCTTACAGCCCACCTTCATGTTAACCTACTATAAAATAAATGCTACAAGTTTGTTCAAAACGTTTGACTGGTGACTTTAACTGTAAAATCTGATGATTTAGCTAAGCTAATTTTGCTACCAAAGCTGAAGGCTTTTGTCTTACCGCATGAAGAAGACGTCTTTTTACAACCAACCAATCATTTGCTTCCTATAATTCAATGCCAAACATGTCCTCCACAAATTACTCAACTTTTTCTAACAGAGCTTTTTCTGCCACTCAACATTTCAACATATTTCTCATATACAGCACTCTGTAAAAAGACAGTTTTTTTTATTTATTTATTTTTTTTTTAGAAATTATGCTTTCACTCTTACCCTGTGGAAGGTGGCAGTGATGGTCAGGAGTCTTTCCTGTGTACTATGTACAACATAACATAACATTTCTGGGTTTTTTTGTTTTGTTTTGTTTTTTTTTAGTTTTAGTGGTCTTATGATTTGTGTGTGTGTGTGTGTGTGTGTGTGTGTGTGTGTGTGTAAAACTGTGAAACTAGCTGTATGGCCTTTCAATTAAAATTAACTCATCTTGATGCTTGTCTATGTATTGATGAAAGCTTAATGTCAACTGAAGTACTTTCAGATTCATGAGATGACATTATTTCAGAGTAAAGCCTCTTAAGTTTAACCAAAAGAACAAACAATTAAAGGCTGAAACTTAGGCGCTTCCCTCCAGTCAGTGCTTCTGTCTGAAGGGCAGTTTGCATACTCCTAACAGAGGAGGATCTATTTGTGTAAGTTTGTGTAGGCTGTTGTTATTGTCATGGATACAAGAGGATTAAAGGCACTGACTGCACCTACAAGTCACTTGGAAGAACATTGCCTCCTTGTGAGCTGTTGTTGTTTTGATATGCATGTCTGTCATTTCTCCACTTTGGGAAATTGCAACATAAAGCAATTATCTCAAGGAAAATACTCACAATTATCGCCCACCTAAATGGTGCCCTGAGGCTACAGGAATGGTAGGTATGAAACTGAGCAAATCTCAGACCTAAACTGAGCAATTTAGGTCTTTTTGTACAGTTTGGCTTGTTTTCTGCAAAGGGATTACATCATAATCATGTCTCTTACAAAGTCAAGGCTTTACGCAAAACTATTTTCAACAGCAATTTCTGCTTTCCTTGACGTAGCTCACCCTGCCAGTGCCAACAGTGGGCTTCAGTGGGTTTCGAAGGTTTTAATGCAGCGGCCTTCATTTGTATCATGTTTACATAATCTCGCTAAGGACAAATAAATGGAGACAGGAAATCTTTCTCCCTCTAGACTTGATGAGGTTTAACAATAGGTTTTATGTACTGAGGTTTTCATTGTCTAACGCTCAGTACCGTGAAAGTGTACAGATGTGAAAGATTTCCTGTTTTTTTGCTTTTTTCCACAGTTGCATGTTTCACAATAAACAAATTTTAACATCAGACCAAGACAATCTGGCTAAATAAAAAAGAAAGACTGTTTTCAAATTATTTGAATTATGAAATGTAAAAAGCTATCCAAATTAACCTCTTCGTTTGTGTAAAAGTGAGCCACCAAAACAAATGGCTGTGTCCCCTGGCTGTGTCCCCCCTTGCAGGAAACTACTGAAATCAAAAATTTTGTAATGTCTTGATTTATATTATTGAGGAAAATGCTTGGCCTACTTTCCAAAACATCCATTTGATCTTTTTAGCCAGTTAAAGGTGGATAAAAGATTGTTTTCCTTTGCTTTTGCAGCTCAAGTTAAGGCAAGTATCACAAATAGTACATTAGATGTTGCTTTGGGTCCTTTTGTGACCTCCTGGTTGAGTCACTGGCGTGCTCTCTGTGTTAGTTTTTGTAGGCT